TTCGGCGGGAGCACGTGTCATTTGTTATTCGTGGTTCAAACGGCACGTCGATAACGGCGAAAAAATCAATTAATCATGGCGTGTAAATAAAAGACACATTAAGCCGGCAGTAAGTAGTCATATTAATAAAAAAGAAGGGTCGGTCGTATACGGCGAGACCTGGCAATAATCCTTCGAACGGCGGCCGCGGCGGCGGTAAGCGGACGAGGGCCCACCACCGCCGTACCGCGGGGACTTTGGGACGCGAGTATTTTCGCACTATAAAAGAGGTTTTGGTTTTGATAGTCTAATAAATTACTCGCCGGTAACCCTCATCGACGAGGATTTGTGCAAGATTGATGGGAAAAGATAAATGCGAGAAAAAAGAACGAAGAAGGAAAGAAATATAGGAAAAAACACGACGGCGGCGGCGGTATAGAGGAGTAATAATAATAGTAAAAAAAAGAAAAAAAAAAAATGACTAAGAAAATATACACTACACATATACTCTCTCCGCGTTACGCGCGCCGCCCATAAACATTTCACTTATAGAACGGGATTTTTTATCTGATACGTTGTTTAGTTGAGGCGAAAAAAAGTCATATTTATATGCACGCGCCGACTAAATCTCCAGCGCGACCCTCCTCGGGCAGACCACCCTCGTCATTTTCGTCGTTGATAAACAAGTCTTGCAATCTGGTCATGGACGTAATCTCTTCGATATATTATCATCACAATACGGACCCGGCGCATCACGGGGCCGGGGACGGTGCCACATGATCCACCGGATACATCATTATTATATTATTATTTATCATGTTACATACGATCGCGTATGAATTATGTCGAAAACCGTGTGTTGCAGGTGCATCATTGTGACATAATTTAATAGCCGGCGGGCCCGAGGACGCGGATTAGTACGTGATTAAATCATCTGCATTAACTATACTATGAACACGCGTGATTGACTCACAGTACATTTCTAAGGGTTATGTTTATAAATACAACAAAAGCTTTTGCATTATCCAATGAATGTATACAGGTGTGCATGTGTCATAACTAGAGAGCGGATCTTTAGGTTTTTACGTATTTTTATTGGTTTTATGCAGATTTACAAGGATAAAAAAATGTGGACGATTTATCCATCATAGAGTTCGTAGGAAAACATTTATTTTGCATATTTTAGCATATTTTGGACATTAAAGAATATTTAGCCTATTTTTCATATTTTTGAATATATTCAATTATTGTTGATAAAAATGCATATTTTATTAATTTCTCGATTTGTGATTTTTCTAGGAAAAAAAATTTAATCATAATATCTATATTCCTATATATGGAACTGTTATCCAATTTTTTTGATTTAAATAATTTATCTTTTACCAAGGAATGGTGCATACAAGTTGTTCATTATTTTTATTCAACTATTTTGTTTTTTATATATACTTTTATTATATTTATAATCCAATGTACCTATGAACTGTTTTAAATTTTTATATTTAAATATTTTATCTGTTACCAAAGGAATGGCCCATAACAATAATTTAATGTTTTTATTGAACTATTTTAGAAAAAAAAACATATTATCGCATATTTACAAGTTAAAGGGATATTTTAGAGTTTTTTTTAGAGCATACTATCTGCATATTTACAAGTTTAAGGAATATTTAGAGATCATTTTAGGGTTATAGAGAATCATATTTTAAGCTTTCAAAAACCTAAAAATCCTCTCTATAGTTATAATGCTAACCGAGATAATTTTTGTTATTGGGGCTTCGTGTCTGACGTAAAGATTTAATTGGTTAGGATTATTTTTTTTTCTTAATTTTTTCTACTTAAATAAACAGATGCTGTCGAAATGGTTTTATATTTGGAACATGTTTTATTTATTTTCATATAATTAATATTCCTTCACTTCTTTTCCCAAAATTTTGAACGTCTACGAATATCAATTGCTCGAATGGTCTGCTTGTCTGCGTTTCTATTCAAAGATTTAATGGAATTAAGTTTCGCAAACTATAAACTTATTTTTGTTTTAAAAACTTTTGGAATATATTTATATGCCATTTTTATAGTGTTAAACTTTGAACTTATTTAAAATTAATACCAACTTTTCAATATTGATCGCACATTTTCTTTTTCTCCTCGTAAACTTTGATAACATTTTAATTTAAAAAGTTCAATTCCAACATGGTGGTATCCGACAGTATATAATAAATGTATTTATATTTTACAGGGTAGAACACAAAATATTTTTAAGTACATCAACAAAAATATACTTAATGATTATTTTAAAATCGTACAAATGTGTATTGAAACACTATTAATGATTGTTTTTAAATTTAAAAACAATTTATTATTATATATTAAAAATTATGTTGAGAGAAATTTGCTAATATATTGTAGACCTGATAACCAAGAAATGTTCATAATAAGATATAGTGGTAAAGGTAATTTTAATGTTTTGGGAATATGTTGTGAATCATTTTGTGATAAAATGGCATGTTTTAAAGTACTAGTAAATTTTATCCTCGAGTTTAAAGAAATAATTGAGAAAATCGAAAAACCTTTTTAAATGTTAGATACATTTATATTTTAAGATTTGCTGTTCAAGACATTTAATATAATTCTACTAACCATAAAAGTATAATAAAACATACAAATATGAAATAAATACATTCTTTTTTTTTTTTTACATAATTAAATATTAGAAATATTTATAAACCTTATAATAACAAATTAATTAAAGTAATTTATATTTCATATCAACGAAATAACAACGTTAAAGTTGGAATTTTTAATGTAGTTTAGTTTCAATTTTCGTTGCTTATATTATAATTTTAAACTTCTCAACAAATAACATAATCATACTAGTTGTCAGATCTTGATTGTTCTAGCATTCTTATTAGAGTTACTTAATACCTTTTTGCTAATTTAATACATAAATAATTTGATTTTTTAGAATAATATAACATTTTCAGCTATGTTTTCAGTTATTTGAATACCAACATATTCCGTATACATTTTAAATAGCATAAAACGCATTTTATGCAGCTAGAGATTATTTTCGTAGTAGAAAACACCGAAATTTGATAATTGATAATTTGATTTCAGTAAAACTAAATTATTTTTATTATTGCACCTCGCAGTTAAATATTTGATCCTTGGACGTAATGTAAGTACGAAGTATGTTTAACTATCTACATTGGCGTAGTAAGGGGTTTGATGGGTTGTAATCCCCTCTCTTATAAAATGTCTCTTTTATTTTGTAAAATATACATTAATTTAAAGATTTAGGTATAGTTTTATGTCATTAACAAGTGGCTGCCAAGGTTTTTTTTGAAAACATAAATTGCCTGCCATGAGACCCCATATAAAATCTCACCAAAACTTAACTTGTCTGCCATGAGATTTCATACGAAATCTCAGGCAATATTTTTTTATTAATTGAATTCTCATAGTGGATCTCAATTATTAGGATTTTCAAAATGTAATTCAACTATACGGTGTGTCCACTACACGCCTGTTTTGATAGCATATGAAAAATATTTTTTTTTAAGGAGTTATGGCATACCGAACATTTTTGATAATAAACCATGTTGGTTGATATTGATACTTTGATAATATAAGTACAATATTATCAATTTTGATACTATAATAAATATGAATCGTAAGAATCATCTACACAAACAAATTTATTTTGTCATGGTACCTAATCGCGTTAGTTTTTAAAACTGAAATACATATTATATTCTGCATTATGAATATTAATATTAGATCGGTATTTTTTTTAAATGAAAAATACATGATATTATAATATGATACTATTAGATTTCAGATGATATGATATGATATATGTAAGTTTTTAGGTTTTCTTATTTCAACTTGAACGCAATAATCATCAAAACAATTTATCTCAATACCAATCATACTTCAATACAGTGGCGTAGCCAAAGGGTGGGAGCTATGGGGCTAAAGTACTTCTCTCCTGACAGATTACTATTTGGTATTTAAGTATTTTATAACTTAGGTACAAACTAAATGTTAACAAAAAACGGGTATTGTCTTTGGTACATAAGCGTATTACTTCTGCCGTGATTATCGCTATCTTTTTAGTGGTTATCGTGAACGTTGTGACGAATTTCGTCTAACACTTATATTTTATAATCAGTATAGTTTTTATATTATGTCGCAGCGATGCTACCGCACCCGACCACTGTTAATGTATTATTATAATAAATTATATTTTAATAAACAAAATTTAAATAATTTTAAAATGCTTGAAATACGTTTATAAACTTGGTGGTGGGTAAGGGGAATGGTGAACTCACAAATCATTTCTAACCAAACCTGCCCCGAAAAGTGTTTAGTCCCTTCAATTTAAAAATCCTATCTACGCCACTGCTTCAGTACACTTATTACATATTGCACTACCTGATTAGCTTTAGACATTATTCACATTACCGAGTCATTGTTATGATTATCATAACCATCTTAAATTTTTTTCGGCATCGGCGTTGGATTATTCACATTACCGGTGATATACATATCGCGTAACACGTTTAATAATGTCGGTAGAAAAGTGTTCTATAATGGATACCGTTATACTTATATGTTAATTTAATGAATATTGAACAATTTAACATCGTATTGTACTCGTTTTTAACTTAACCACATCGTATCAACATTTTTGTTACTGTTAAAATAACAAGACTTAATTATTATATCGCGCGTTGATGTTGTATTACGTATTCGCTCGATGCTAGCGATAAGAATACCGTAATGTCGCGAGGTACTCGTTTTGCCTAATCGAAACTCCGTCTAGCCAGACGTGCGCATCGACCGGATTTCTTCGTTACATTAACGTTCGCGTTGCGCGAGATCAAACGATCTCGAACACCAGATTTTCACTCGCAGAAACCGTGCAGTGAACCTGCGTTTAGTACCCAGTCGTACGCGACCACTAACAGGAATAACTAACGTCGGCGTCATTACGAGTTTATCGCACGAATGATCCTTACCGGAATAATGAAGCCCAGCAACGTCCTTGGGCAGCTGATACTTGGACTGTTCTCCGGGCTTGGAGTTCATCGCGACGCAGTCCGTCTGCCGTATCTGAAAACAGAAACGTCTAAAAATGACAACGTCCGGACGAGTGGAAGGTGGGCCAGGGGCGGAAAGGACGGGTAGGGCGGAGTTGGGGAAGGGGTTACGTTTTCGTCGCGTCTAACGTGTGCTTTCTAATGTTCATTTGTACACGTTGTCGTTGTCCGTCGGCGTGCAGTGGTTCGCAGGGTTGCGGGGGGGGGGGGGGGGGTAGGGGATGTTGGCCGGGGTCGAACGGAACAAGGGAATTAGGCGGGGAACGGAAAAACAAGACGGGCGATAGAAAAAAAAAAAAAAAATAAAGCAATAACAATACGTGATTATACGATATTAATTGTACCTCCGGCGACTAACGTGCAGAGAGTATTTACCGGGATTTCGTACGAGCGTTGTCTCCCGGTGGCGGTGACGGTTGATCGGCAGCGGTCAGCGGTGCTGAGGGTCGGCGACGGTGATGAGTTCGCCGGAAGAGCGAATACCGCAATGGGGGTTTTGTGCCGAGCGAGAACTGCAGTGTCGGAATCGCCCGGATCCTGGCTGCGGCCGCGTCGAAC